GCGCCGATCTTTCGTTCGCGATTAGTTTTTTGGATATGATGCGAAATTTGAAGGGTGGTTCGAAGGATCGTCGAAAGAATGGTTTCAGACTGGCATGAAGATGCTGCAGCTGATGCGAGAAGTGCATTGTTGTTAAGGGCGAGTCGTGACTCTGTGATTAAAGAAATGGAAGATGTAAAGAGCTAAATGCGCATTTTGGCCCAGTGTGCTCCAGTAAAGCGCACTACGTAGAGATACCGTCTAAGCCTCAGGGTCTCGGCCAAGGGGGGGGGGGGGGGGGGGGGGGTACCGAGGTTTTCCCCCCAATTCGGAAAACATCCGAAGGTCCAACAAATGAATTTCTTTTCTTCTCCTTTTGCAGAGTCATGTCCATTGAAGTGGGGAATCCCCAGTCGCCGCTGGCGAAGGCCTTTGTTCACACCAAGAGCAAGCCTTAAAGACGCCTGGAAGGTGAGAAGATGGGCCCGCCGACCCTAACTAATTACTAACTGCGTCAGGGGTATTCCCCCTTCCCCCCCCCCAGCTGTATAAATAGCCCCAGCTGGAGCAAATCCCAATCATTCTTCACCCGAGGCTCTAGCTACCTCCTTCGCTATCTCGTGTCTTCGACGACGTCCAACCCCCCAAAAATGAAGCTCGTGAGCACTTTCTTTTGTTGGAATAGCCAAGGAATTATCTATCGCGGTCACGATGAAGAACCCAATCTGGTTCCTAGTCATGGCCATTTCTCGGTTATCGATTCAATGCTAAACCTTCAATTTAATCTAATTTCATCGCTCGCTTTTCTATTTCTTTTTTTTTTGCTATCGATTATAGTAACATATCAAACGCCCAATCAATATTTCACCCTTTATTTTACGCTAAGCTTAAAATAATTAATGTCCATAAGAGGAAGTTTCCTTTTCTTGCATAATTTTTCTGTTCGTTTCCTTGTGAACATGGACATTTTTTCAGACAAGTTTTCAGCCGTAATAGCTAATGCTTTGCTGTCTGACGTTCCTACAGGTGTTGGGACTTTTGGGACTGGTGTGCCTGGTGGCTCTGGCCCACGGCGCGGAGGAAGAAGCGGAAGACCTCGACCCTGCCGAGTCCGCCCATAGAGGAGGCTTCGGAGGTTTCGGAGGATACGGCGGGTACGGAGGCTATGGAGGCTATGGAGGTTACGGCGGCTATGGCGGCTATGGAGGTAATTTTCAGCCATAGTTTGAACTATCACGGAGTAAATGCAATCGTACCATTCTTCATTTACTGGTAGGGCGATGATGAGAACCGGAATACTTCTGCTCTTATGTAAACATCTTTGCCACAGGGAAATGAATCATGCAAATGAAAACCGAGAAGGTAAGGGTCTTTTGTTTTTATTACCATTCGGCGTCAAATATGCCTGAAAGTTCCTTCTCCAAAACACTGAATTTCCGAAGAAAAAGGCGAGCGCTGACTTCAAATTCGAGCATAGACTGGCCATAAAATCGGTAGGATATCGCAAAAACACCATAGGTATATTTAACTGGATTTGGGGATCGCTGGGAAGATTACTTGTGAAATTTCTTCATTATAAAAATTTCTTTATTTTATAGGAGGCTACGGAAGAGGCTTCGGCGGCCACCGCCGCCACCACGGAGGATTCGGCTTCTTCGGCTGATCGGCCTTCCCTCTCGCTCCTTCCTCGACTCATCCTTCCAGCTTATGACACTTCGTTCAAATGAGGGCATTCACTCCACAATGGGCTTTTACTTCTTAGCGTGTCACCGCTGTTTCCATGAATAAACACCTGAGAGCATTTTTAAACATTTTCTGCATTCGTTTCTACTCTCTCAAATCGTCGCCAAAAATCAAAAGAATCGCAGAAAATTCGCAGAAAAAATCTTCGATGTCGTTTTCACGGGAATAGGTATTTCAATCAGGAATAGGTATTTAAAAAAAAAAATTTTTTTTTTACATGGAGGGGATTCTGTAGTGGAGAACCGCCTTTGCAGAAACTTTGCAGAACCTCCAAAAATGCCGAAAAGTTCCATACCTGAAAGAAAAATCTGAATTAATGGCCTGCTCCATTCGTCATGGGTTCTACTGCGCGCCAGTCTGACACAGTCTGGCGCCGAAACCAATCATAATGGTTCATAATGATCGTGACTTACGGGCACGTAAAGGGAAAAAACCGCCCGAAGGCACGTTCAATTTTTTGCTCACCGATTTTGGCGATGAGAGACTTTCTTCCTCGACACGATTCGTTGCACTTTTCGGTTTTCTATGAGTCAATACTTAGAAACGTCGACCCGAGATTCGCAAGGTGTGTTTAACGACCCGGATGCATCAGGCTTTCGCGATGTGCCATCCCGTAATGTTTGATAGGTATTGCGAATTTTGCTGTGTCTCTTAGGTCCCAATAGTAAGTAATGTCGCGGGGAAATGTCAATATGGTTCGTTGCTAATGATTAAATATTTACTTGGGGAAATATCAAAGTTAGACCGGGTGGGGCAAAAAAAAGGCTTAAAAAAAAAACTTTTTATAGAACCAAAAAAAGCAGTATTTTGCAGATGCCACACCTTTTTTTTGCCAAAACGCCTGCGGCATTTTTATTGCAATGACCTTGACTGTGCAGTGTCAGCATGTCGATTGGAGGGCCTTTCAGGGCCTACGCAGATTACCATGGTTAAATGGAAAATAACCTTAGCACAAAATTATATTTTAAACCTTTGCCTCGAATTACGGTCGCTTTTTATTCCGACGACTGAATCTTTCAGGAAACAAATTTTGTAACGATTTCACTGTTAAAAAAATTACGAAACTAGAATTTCCTCAGCCAATTTCATAAGGTGTCAAACAGAACGCATTTTTTGTGCTAAATTTGATGAAACTCAGATGAATATTTTTCTTTCAAAGTGGAACTTATTTTTCGCCTCCTATTACCCTTGTCACCCTTGGCTAAATTCGAAATTGGGTGTCACGGAATGCCCACAGAGTGCGAAACGGGGAAACCTGTTCAAGTCTCAAGGTCATGGTCGAGCCTTTGGAACGCTTATCGATTGTAAAAGGGTGGGGGTTGGGGGGGGGCATGGGGCAGGGGGCCCGGGGGGGGGGGGGGGGGGGGGGGGGTCTTGGTCTTGGGCTGGCCCGACCCTGCCCTGCCCTGATGGGACCGAATTTTTGCTGGACTTAAATAAATCCTCCACAAGGTCATCTCCATTCAGCTGGATCCACGACCGCTTCAACGCCCTTTCTTTTCATGAGAACGTAAGTGAATGGAAAAACAGATAAAAAGGGCGATAAGGTTGAGAAGAGGCGAAAGCTGTCAGAGAAACCCTACACCGACCGACGCCTGCACTCGACTGGGCCGTCCGGTCGTCTCCCGCGCCCTCCACAGCACCTTCGGGATGGAGGTCCCGGGGGTTTTCCGCGCGCTTTTTTTGGGAGGGTGATCGAAGACTTTGGTTGTCAGTTCGATTCAGGGCTTGAGGAACTTCAATTCGGATGCTTCAATAGCTCACTTTTCATTCCTTTTCCTGCAATGCTTTTCGTAGCTATTTCGTTGGTGAAAAAGGTTGAACTATTGTCGCATTGAAGGTATATGTGATGTGACTTGTTCCCGGAACACTCCCGACATCTACGAATTACCAACGGAACTAGCCCTATCTATTGACATTCATAGGTGACAGAAAGTGGCCACGTGAGCAACTAAAGTTAAAAATGGGGGCAGAAGAAAGATTCGGGCCTAGATTTGAACAGAACCGACCACCTTCACCAGTATTGGCCCGTTAATTTTACCATAAATAAATGTAAATAAATGGTAAGTAAATGACTACGCTACTCCTTTCTCGATCACTCTTTGAAACCTCTACACTTAGCTGTCACATCTCATTTTCCTTAATTCATTTCAGGCATTGTCGGAAAGGACACTTTCTAAATTAAAATTTTCTTGCCTTCTGAAAGTCTGAATCCACATTTTATTCGGAAAACCTATACGTGGTATTCCTTTGGAGTCAGTTTTCTTGCATAAATGTCCTTTTTCTTTGCTTTGGGGACGGGATCCAAACTATTTTTTTTTTGTCTGTCCTTGTTCCCTTCGTTCGGGGAGTTGAGATGTTTCACGTTGCGACTCCTCGCAGCGACCGTAGAGCCGAATAAAACCCTTTTCCGAGCATTTTCCCCCCGACATCCGAAGAGATAAATCCAACAACAGTCGTCGGAAATAAATCGGTTTCATACACTGGACCAATACAGGACCAATACACGTTAGGACCACGACTGGGTGAGGAGCCGTACAATGGTAATCTCAATATTCTAATACGGTAATGGTAATCTCGACATCCATTTCTTAATAAGGCCATTCTATTAATTTTCCGACTCCGAATAATCGAGAGAGAAAATTGCGTGTCTGACAGATGACAGAAAGTCAAGGTCGAGGACCAAAAAAAAAGTATCTTTTCAATGTTGAACATTCAGGAAATGTTGCTGCTTGCTCTCGGTCGAGTGGGGAAAAGGAACTAGACGGATGGCCGTCTGCCTCCGCCTCTGACCGGATGCAGGCGCTTGGATCCCCGTTTTTCAATGCCCTGCGAGAATTGAAGTCGGGGTGATTTGTAATATTGGGGGGGGGGGGGAAAATAGTGGTAGAAGGTGAGAGGGGTTCTGTGGGTCGATCCGGTTGCATGACGGTTCTTGCGGGCACGGGAGGAAACGCTTTGGGAAGTAACATGCGATGATTTTGGACCATACAGACTTTCGAGACCGTTTTTTCAGGAACGGAATCAATAGGATATCTATTGTCCCGACATCTCAGTGCATCTCTTCCATTCTTGAGAAGCTGTCTCGTCCACCAATTGAATAAGCAAGGAGTACGAAATGTTTCCAAAAGTTTATTCAGAATGTGGAAATGTCGTTTTGGCAGCCAAAAGTCTTTGGCTAGTATATATTTTGAAGCTGTATGAAAGACTAGGACGGAAATTTGCATCGCCGAAGGATGACGGAAAAGGCGACGAGAGACGAGGTTAAGCAAAGTTGCTCAACCGTAATGGGGACGACGATGGTGATGGCCAAAGCCTCCGAATCCTCCTCCGAAGCCTGTGTACCAAATAAGGAAAGAGAAAATTAAATTATTTACCTTGTTTTCGTGACAATTTCGGGAAGCAACTTCTCTCAATTTTAAGGATGTCAATAAAATTACGAAATAAAATGGCCCATGAATACTGGTAATTGGACTAAGGCATATTCATTTCTCTCTCTTCAGTTGGGTTACAGTTTTCTTCCTCCGGATAATAATGCCTTCATGTGAATGAAGAACAAGCACTTATTAGTTGTATTCCTGCTGTAAATACCGGGAACGAAATGAATTTTCCAGACCTCATCATCTACCTATTATTCAGGAACTGTTCGTATGCATGTACTAGTAAGCCACCAGACTACGGATAAGAAGGAAATCTGAAAAGCAAAGCAACTACCTCCATAGCCTCCCAAGCCTCCATAGCCCCCATAGCCTCCATAGCCTCCATAGCCGAATCCTCGATTGGCAGATTCAGCAGCGAAGAGGTCTTCATCTTCTGCAGCAGCTCCCAGGGCCACAGCCATTAGGCACACCAGCCCCAACAGTCCCAGCATCTGTTCATAAAAGAATGAACTCAAACTCGTCACTGGGAAATGCATGCTCCACGTGTCCTCTTACACATGAAATAACAAGGTAATGCTGACCTCTTGTAAGGAGAGAAGATGGTGCATTCTTGTCAAATCTACAAAGTATGTTTAAGTAAAGCTTGACGATGAATTAATACTTTTTCAGCATATACCAGGTTCAGCATTGAATTAATAAAGGACATTGGTCATCTTAGTGAATCGCATTTTTATTATAGATTCTTATCGAGGGATTTATACGCCGACTATTCATTAAGATGCGACATAAGGAAATACTCACGAGTTTCATTTTGGAGATTTGTGCAACGTTGAAGACGATTCCACAAGAATCAAGACAGCTGTGAGCGGTCGAATTGCAGGCAGAGAATGAAGGGAATCGGGTCCAGTCGAGGGTATTTATACAGTAGAGGGGAACGGGGAATACCCTTGACGTAGTTATTGTAGTTAGGTATCTGCTCTCCCTCCAGGCGGTTCTCGGCTTCTTTTCCAGGAAGAAAAGATGGAAGGGGGAAAAAAAAAATTTTTCTCCCTATTTTCTTCGTGGAAAGCCCATTGAATGGCCGCGAGGAGATTCCCAAGCTGGATTGACTATGCGTAGCGAGTCCGCAAGGTCGTTGTAGCGGTATGCTTTAAAGCAGAGAATATACATATTATATGTATCAGTAACGTGCAATTAATTAGGTACATGACTGGAAATTTTATCCCCAATCGCCGATTTCCCCAAAAATTCCTGTATATCAGAACCCGGACCACAAGGAGTTCGAATTTGCCTTCATACTTCCCTTTTCACCTAGTTAAAAAAAAAAACAACTTGTCACGCTAAGAAGCAAGCGAAATAAATTCTTATTCCGCCCATTTTCGTTTTCCGACCGCTTTCAAAAAAATATTTTCATTGTTTCGATGGGAAAATGTTTTATATGATATAATATAATATAATATAATATAATATAATATAATATAGATGACATTGCCTCCTGGATTACTTGAAATCATTGTGGAATTTTTTTTTACGTTTTTTACTTCCATTCTTTTAAAATACGTTTTCAGTGAAGCACAAAATAAATTCAAAGAAATGAGGAATTCGGATGTCCGTCCGTAAAGCCGAGCCGGCAATGATTAATTGTTATTGGGGTCGGATCTGTCACGTATGGATATACATGCTGTACCAAATATTATCCATGAGAATAATTATAAACTAGGAATGTTAAATTTGGCTTTTTGAAAGTATATCGGCATTTTTAATCAGCAATGTCTTCAGGCTTCAGTGCAAAACTTGCTTCTTTGCACGAAGGCATGATTAATGCATTTTTTTTCCCTTTTCCCCGTTTTGGACATTTAGCTTTCCATCGGTTGCGTTTCTTCGCAGAGCCACAAGAGTCGACACAATTCGCTGTCAACTGTATTCCCTCGATTCTGCGGCTGTGAAGGGACGATGGGAGTCCCATAGCGTCTAAGGATCATGCCGAAAAGCAGAGGAAAAAGAGAAAAGATTTTCTTCTTTCTACACGTATATCCGTTTGAAACACACTCGAACGTCGACCTTGTGGACTCACGCCACGTGGTCAACCCAACTGGGGAATCCCCGCTTGGTCGTTCAACAGACTTTTTCCACGAGGAAGAGAAGAAGGGAAAAAAAATTTTTTTCCCCCTTCCGTCTTTTCTTCCTGGAAAAGCAGCTGAGAACCGCCTGGAGGGAGAGCAGATACCTAACTACAATAACTACGTCAAGGGTATTCCCCGTTCCACTCTACTGTATAAATACGCTCGACTGAACCCGATTCCTTTCATTCTCTGCCTGCAAATCGACCGCTCACAGCTGTCTTGATTCCTGTGGAATCGTCTTCAGGGCTTCAGCGACTCACAAATCTCCAAAATGAAATTCGTGAGTACTATCGCTTAATGAAATAGTCTGTAAACGTAGCTGAGGATCATAAAAACTTGTGATTCCCAGTAATGACCATTTCCCTCTATGATCCCTCTATCTATTTCCCTGATTTTGTTAACTCATTCAAAATGAATCAAATCCTACTTCCATCTGAATGGAACATGTTTCCTTTTTCACTTGGCTTGCCAAATTCGTCACTTCGCGTGTAAGTGAATACGAGGGGCGCATAGAGCATTTTTGTCGATTCACAGATGCTGGGACTGCTGGGACTGGTTTGTCTGATGGCTGTGGCCCTAGGAGTGGCCAACGAAGCCGAGGATGAAGACCTCTTCACTGCTGAATCTGCCAATCGAGGGGGCTATGGAGGCTATGGAGGCTATGGAGGCTACGGAGGCTATGGAGGCTACGGCGGCTATGGAGGTAGTGCTGAACCGTACCTCGGATGTAATTTTTCTTTTTTGGTCATAGAATGCTCACGTAGTTTACATGTATACTTGCCGTACTTCATTGAATTGTAGGGAGGATATTGTTCACCGGGAAATTGCAAAAACGGTGGCCATTAATCCGTTTCTAATTTCCTTTCATTTACCTGAAGAGATATTTCACTTGACCGAGGTTTTCCCCCCAATTCGGAAAACATCCGAAGGTCCAACAAATTAATTTCTTTTTCTTCTCTTTTTGCTACACAGGATACGGAGGAGGATTCGGAGGTTTCGGCCATCACCATCGTCGTCCCCATTATTATGGCTGAGGAGCTCTTTTCTTCTCTCTCGCACAAAAGGAATAGCCCAAATATTTATTTTATCGGAACAAAAAATGTTTTTAAGTACTGAATAAATATCTACGATTATTTCCCACCTCCTCGTTTCTTGCTCTTCGAGAAAAGTCTATTCCACTCTTTCACTCGAAGGAATTCCTCAGGAATTGACAATTAATGCCTCGTAGAGCAAATTCACCCCAATACCATCCGAATTTGCCAGCAATACTTACATTTACAGTACGCGTCAAAATTAACGTACCAGGGTTATCTCTTATTCAACGAGAGATGCAGGAAAACTATTTATATCAACATGAAGTACATACAGAGCCCTGATCTCAATACAGAGTATAATCGCCCTGCTCTTCGACTACAGCACGTAATCGGCCCGGCATCAAGTCCGCCAATTTTTTGGCGAATTCTTCACTCAGATTCTCCTACTCCTCCTTAATTACTGCTCTAAAAGTCTCGATCGTATGCGCCACTTTGACCTTCAAGAGAGCCCACACATTTTCTATGAGGGTTGAGGTCGAGAGACTGGGATGGCCGGTCCAAACGGAACACCCCATTCTCGGCCATCCAATTGGACGCCTGCTTTGAGGTGTGCTTTGGGTCATTGTCCTCCTGCAGCACCCAAGTCTTCATTGAATCGGGGAACAGAGTAGCTGCAGAAGGCATGAGGGTATGCTCACATGTGCATCCAGGTTCTGGGTGAAGGTGCAGATGTTCCCGATCCCTCCAGCATAACGGCAGCCCCAAGCATGCACCATATCCAGGTGTTTGACAGTCCGAGCGATCACTCTTTTCCCTCCACCATTCCCGTCTCTCGACATGTTTTAAACCAATCGGCCTTCGCTGGCTTCGAGATCCTTTTATACTTTGCGATGGCGCAGAAGAGAGCTTCGGACGCAAGGGACGAACGGCATGAAATCTATCTCTTCATTAAAAGTAGCATTTTTCCTCACACCAATGAAAAACAGTTACGTAACTGGGATGTAACGAACTATCTGTAGAATCACTCATTTTTTTAGGCGGATCAGCACTCATGGCCAGCTGTCCGTTGCAAAACGTTTGAGCCGCGTAGGTTCCCTATCCTTCGAGAAAATTCTGGTACGTTAATTTTGACGACCACTGTAAGTTTAAGATAGGAGATCATTCCTAAGTGAATGATGAAGACTAGGGTTCGCAGAGCATGGACCCACTGAAAGAGCCCTGTAAGATAACTTCCACGTGCAGAAATTAAAGGTCGTATCAAAAGCCGGGAGGAAGAAGTCGAGGAAAGCGAAGCATTGAGCGAATGTTACTGGGAACTGCACGACGATGCGGACCGCATCATTTACCGGTCCAGCGCTTACGCCAAAGAAAATCGACGGTGCAGAAGAAGCTTACCTTGGAGGAGTGAATAGCCTTTCACCAATTTTTCCTTCTTTGGTCTCATCAAGTGAATTCCACTCTTGTCAGACGATGAATACCTTCTCTGAATTCCTGTGAGTCAGCAGCCAAAAGTTTTGTTTTTATTTGGTTTAAGCTTGTGCGTAGCGCAGATAATTTTGGTTGCGATTACTGCTTTCTTTGGCAGGGTTGGCGGTTCCGAAACTTCTCAGACTCTTTTGGAATTTGTTAAGTCATATTCATAAAAGATGTCTCTGTATGATCAGATGCGACTAAAAAATGAGCTTTTATTGTAAATGTTCAATATTGAAGTCACGGTAAACGTTAGATCGAGAACGAAAGGGTAAGCACACATTTTGTGGTCGAAGGTAATTTTGAACAGGGGATAAAGTGTCACTCGAAGAGACACTCTGCATTCTGAGTGGTAGGGAGATTGGTCTAAATATTACAGAGAAATCTGGTTAACCCCAGTATACACCACTTCCTTAAGACGTGCTTCTTGGCTGAGGAATCGAGAATCGACTCATTCGGATATTCGACCCAAAGGGAATCCCTCAATGGAATTCAAATGTCTCCATTCCGCTGCTTGGCCATAGAGGATAAGTCAACGGGTGTCCCCAGGTGCAAAATCGACATCTACATTGCGACCACGCCAATAAATGGAATTCGGGTTTAGCCTCGCCTCTCACACTCTCTGGAGAGAACGAGCGAGAATCAGCTAGAATCAAGATGTCTCGACGTCTCTAAATGGGTGCAGTCAGGTTAGGTCACCTTCATAACTTTCTGGACTATTTTCCCGGGAAAAAAATGAAAGGGAAATCCATTGGACCGCTCTTGTCACAAATCTTTTTTCCATTCAGAAGCGTCGTGGTCATCAACTTAGAGATGCTTTTCTTCTGATTCAAATTTAAACATTCAAAGCACGATTGATAATTTCGAAGTTGATTCAACGAGACCGAAGTCGCCTTTCTTTTTTTTTTGCCCTGGCATTTCTCGAAAAGGGAACAAACGAGAAGTACGAAATGTTTCCAGCAGTTTATTCTGAATTTGAATTGCATTTTTGCCAAAGACGATGGCCAATTTCTTTCGTGCATGAGTTCAATAAAATACTTCTGGGACGGAAATGCGAATTGCCCGAGAGATGACTAGGGAGATGAGAATGATGAAGAAACGCCAAGATGTTCAGCCAAAATGATGGGGACGATGATGCCCGAATCCTCCTCCGTACCCCGAGTACCAATTTAAAAAAAAATTAGTTTTTCCTATTTTTTTTTACAACAATTTAAAACTGGAAAGCAAATTATATTGGGAATCCGATGGAATCGAAGAGTTCAACAGCAACAACCCCTATACGA